AACCCCGCGGGCCTCGGATTTATCACAATTAATATTCAAGACAGCAAAGGTTAGAGAGGCAGAAGAAACAAACAACTGTTTTGAGACGATGATTGTGTCTGACAGAGAAAAGAGAGGAAGCAGGGAAGTGTAGAGTCCAGGTGAGGAGGTGAATGTAAACAACTTCTGGTGGAAAAGTTTCTGTTTTAGCTTCTTTTTAAAATGAGGCGACCAGATTCAGGGACTTTTTCAGCTTGGAAAAAAATGATTAAAATGTGATCGGGAAAATTCGTGTTGTGTCGGTAGAAAAGAACAGTCTGTTCTTCTTGTTTAAAGGGGGTGAGCTTTGTGTGACCACTTACCGTAATAATCGTTGTTTAGGTCTGGGCGCAACATGCTTAATCGCACTTCCTACCTACCCGGCTACAGTAATAACCATCATTCTAGTCTATTTTTTTCTCATTCATGAAACGCTAAAATTTGGGACATCTCCAGGGTCAGGTTATCCAAAATGGGGTCCAAAACAAGTGCACTCCTTTCTTCATTGCTCTGCGCAGCCACTTACTGTAATAACTGTTGTTTAGGTCTGGGCACAACATGCTTACTTGCGCTTCCTGCCTACTTGGCTACCGTAATTACCATCATCCTGGTCTATTTATCTCTCATTCATCAAAAGCTAAAATCTGGGATATTTCAGGGGACAGGTTCAGCTCTAAAAATAAAATTAAATGTGATCCAGAAAATTAGTTTCATGTCCGTGGACAAGCATACTCTGTTCTTGTTGTTTAGAGGTGGTGTGCTCTGCGCAATGAGCTACCGTAATCAACATTGTTCAGGTCTGGGTGCAAGATGCTAACTCGCGCTTCCTGCCTACTTGGCTATTGCGAAAACCGTCGTCCTAGTCTATTTTTTTCTCATTCATAAAAGGCTAAAATCGGGATATTTCCGGGGACAGGTTCAGCTCGGGAAAAAAAAATGAAAATGTTATCAAGAAAATTAGTTTGATGTCGGTGGACAAGCGCAATTTGTTCTTCTTGTATAGAGGCGGCAAGCTCTGCACGACCACTCACCATAGTAACCGTTCTTTAGGTCCGGGCACAACATGCTTACTCACGCTCGAACTCAAACCTGCGACCGCTGCAGGCACTGTGGTCCCCATAGGTGGGGTGCGCTAACCCGCTTGGCCATCTGCACGCACCTGGTCGTCATGTTTTAAAGGTGCCGTTGCTCCCTCTCGCTCCTCTCCGCTAATATCAGCAACTTCCTGCTCCCAAATATTGTTCCGCACTGATCCGTCTTTAACCTTTACCTGACGCTTTTGGACCATTTCAACTCATCTGAGGACAGTAAGGAGAGGGACGAGTCTTAGTTGTCACGGTTACCTGAGTAATCAGCTTGTCACCACCTTGTAATCATGGCCACAGACGCTAACACATACACCAATAATCAATCACTCTTGATCAACTTCTCTGACATTATCTGGTTTGGATTTTAAAGGGCAGTTACGTAGATTATCATCTAAAAGTGTTTTTTATTATTACATTAAGCACAGATTTTAAAGGGCGGTTACGTAGAGTTTCGTCTAACGCTCTTATTCATTATTACGTTAAGCACAGATGTTCAGAGCCGGAGGTCCGGACTGAAGTGACGCTTTGATTTACAACTTTGCTGTGGCCTTGCGCGCGCTGTCGCCAGGGTTCAAAGGTCAGCGCCGCCTGTTAATAACACCAAACACACCCACGCGGTGACAGGCTGGAGCTTGAGGGCCGCGTGTGGGTAATAACGGACGCACACACACACTCACAGGGACGCACACATAATCAATCACTCTGATAGGTTGATATCGATGATCCCCGTCTGATCCCAGGGCTTCTGAAGCCCCTGTAGGATACTCGTGTCTCTGTGGGGTTATTGATCAGTCAGGATCTATAAGTTAATTCTGTTGAGCTGCTTATTGATCCGTATTTATCAAAGTAAGACCTGTACACTCCGGAATATGTGTGTGTCTGTGTGTCAGTGGAGCTGTAGAGGCGTCACACACACACACACACACACACACACACACGCTTTGACGCTTTAATAACAGTTGGTGTTGTAAAGGAAGGACACACACACACACACACATTGGCTCTGTGTGTGTGTGTGTGTGTGGAGGCCTTGGAGGTTACTTCATCATGCGATGATGAATCCGTCAAAACCATTCCACATGGACTGGAAGTGGGCGGGGCTCCAGTGAAGGGTTAATTATTGATTTTGGGATGTCAAGATGAGCGATCGGTCGTCACCACCATCAGATTTCTGAGGCCAAAAGAGACTGAATCTGGACCAGATGGTGGATTTCAATTTCCTGTTTTTGTTCTCATGTTGGGACTTTTGCTAACCGATCCATCCCGGACACCAGATTTGTACTGAGCGTGTGCGAAACGTACGTCACTTCCTCTCTTGGCATTTCAATGTATTTTACGGCAGTGAGTTGCTACTTGCGCAACTGCAAATTTGCGCCACCTTAAAAATGTTATTTAAACTACTGATTAGTTCAGAAACAAGCTTGCGATGAGGTAGGCGAGCTAGCTAGCAGGAGGCTCCAGAGTTAACGCCGAGGCAGTCGTCAAAGCTCCTGCCCAGCACGGGGAGACCTTTTGGGCCACAGAGAGCGCCACCACCCGGTCAAATTCATGGTTCTCTGACTTTTCAAAGTATCAAGGGGGGATTTATTTTGTTTATTTTATAAATGAATCCGACACATTATGGACGATGAATTTAAGCGTCTTTATACAATTCAAGCCTTTTATAACTACGCTGCAATTTTACAATTTAGCTAGTAGTAGGAACCTTTAATCATGAAACTGGGCGCCATTCTCTTAACTTTCCAGGAGACTTCCTGTTGACTCGAAGTGTCGGGATGTGGGACTGTCCGCGATAAAAATCTGTAACCTTCTCACTTTAAAGAACAAAATGAACATCACGCCGAGTTAAAGAAGTCATCAGGAGGATGTTATCGGTGGAATAAATCAGATTAGGTTGAAGCTTTATAGCCGCTTATTCGCTCACTCTGGTACAAAACACCTCGCACACTTAAAGAGACGTTTTTATCGACTGAGATTGAGTCGTAAAAAGATGAAATTTTTAAGCCGTTAAGACAATGTCACCTCTGGATGTCGAAGTGATTCATAAAGTCAGTCAAAATTAAGTTAACATAATGAGTCCAATCAGGTCGAGGCTGTCTGGGGGCTCGACGCCAAATGAAAACGGCGTTCCCTTTCTTCGTCTTGTCTGTGGGTTGAATTCGGCGACGTCAGGATTAGAGCTTGCAGCGCAGCTCTGAGCAGCCGATGAGTGGAGATGCTGTGATACGCTTCATCTTCAATCTTTACTCGTATACGGTTTTGATCGTCATTGGCGACTTTGACTCCCAATGTTATCATTCATGGCGCGGCTGCTCATCACACAGTATTCAAACACACCTACACACACACACATACAGTGACAGACACACTCATACAGATATAAAGTACACATGATATTATTCAGGTTCCCCTTCTCACCTTCTAAAGAGATTTTGAGCTTTAAGAATAAAAACCTGTCCTTGTTTTTCTTTGTTTTTTTGGATTTCCACATGGATGAATGTATGACTGTGTTATTTTTCTAGAAGCGGACGGCTAGCGCACGTTGTTGACTCTTTAATAAAGGCATCCTTAGAAAAAAACTTGCCATGTCCGGACTGTTTATTTGACCTCTGAACTTTCTGTGGGGGGTGCTCCAGGAGTACAGGGTGGATGGTTCCTTATTAAGGGTGGTCCAATCCCTTTACCAAAGGAGCAGGAGATTTGTCCATGTCGGACTCGTTTCCAGTGAGAGTTGGACTCCGTCAGGGCTGCCCTTGGTCACCGGTTCTGTTCATAACCTTTACGGACAGAATTTCTAGGCGTAACCGGGGGGTGGAGGGTGTCCAGTTCGGCAGGCAAAGGATCGCGTCGCTGCTCTTCACGGATGATGTGGTTCTTCTAGCTTCGTCAAGCAGTGACCTTCAGCTCTTGCTGGGGCGGTTCTTGGCTGAGTGTGAAGCGACTGGGATGTGAATCAGCACCTCCAAGTCCGAGGCCATGGTCATCGGTCAGGGAAAGGTAGATCGCAAGTCACCGGATTGGAGGGGAGGTCCTGCCTCAAGTGGAGGAGTTCAAGTATCTTGGGATCTTTTTTCATGAGTGAGGGTAGGATGGAACCGTAAGGCGAGTCTCTCGATTTACCGGTCGATCTACGTGCCGATCCTCACCTATGGTCATGAATTTTGGGTAATGACCGAAAGAACAAGATTGCGGATACAAGCGGCCGAAATGGGTTTCCTCCAAAGGGTGGCCGGGCTCAGCCTTAGAGATAGGGTAAGGAGCTCGGACACTCGGGAGGCGCTCAGAGTAAAACTGCTGCTCCTTCGAGAGGACTCAGCTGAGGTGGCCCGGGCATCTGGTTAGGATGCCTTCTGGACGCCTCCCATTAGAGGTGTTCTGGACATGTCCCACCGGGAGGAGACCTCATGGCCGCGAGAGATATAATCCCTCCACCTGGTCCTGGGAGCGCCTGGGAATCCCCCCTGGAGCAGCTGGTTGAAGTGACTGGGGTGAGGGCCATCTGGGCTTCCCTCCTGAAGCTGCTCCCCCTGCGACCCGGACCCAGACAAGCGGAAGAAAACAACGATGATGACGACTTTCCTGCTGTTGATTATTCTGTTAAAATAATCAGAGTCGAGCTAAAAAGAGATTCAAAAGAAGCAGCTTAAAGACACCCTTAAAAAAAAAGTGATGTTTTAAGTGTTTGACATGAACTCTTCTTCACCTTTTCCAGATTAATTGTCGCCGGTAGCAACACCCCGCGATGTCCCGGTCGTTTCAAAGAATCCTCCAGCTCCCGCCCACGTCCCCAGACTCCCGACACCTGCTCGGAGTCAGAGAGAACGGCTTCAAATTCAGCTTGGCACCGACAGAAGTCACTTTTGAAGAGAACACTTGCTTTGTCTGCTCCAGCTCTGCGGTTTGGGATATTTTTAGACACAAATTGAGAAGAGGACTCAGTCTGAGAAGCCTGACTGTCTGCTTCGACTGACTGGCGAGAGCAGCGACTTGTAAAAAAAAAAAGCAGCTCGGCATAAAACCGAGAGGATGAGGTTTCTGATGTCAAATACTCACTGATAAACCAGGTGGACCGGGTCAAGGGTACAGACTTTCTCATGGTAGGAGGTTTAAATGAAGTGATTTTAGATTGAATTTTGTAGATCACTTAAAAAAAAAAAAAAAACAGGTCATATTTTACAGTCAGGAGGGAAAAAATTTCAGTTAGTCAGTAAATTAGTCTACCTGATTTTTGTTACAATCTCAAAAACTATAGCAACGATCGATCAATGTACCTACAGAAGATTTTTACATCTATGTAAACATCAATAATTAAGTAAATTAAAGCTCCTCTGAGTAGATTTTTGGCTCTTTTTTTAAACACTGAAACTAAAATTAATCCCTCTTTGTGCCTTGACACCTGGAGATTGTCTAATATTCCAGATTATAAATCCTCATCTGTCTATTTTGATTCATTTACAAAATAAAAAATAAAACCGGTGTACACACTGACGCTAACTTCTAAGAGTTGACATTAGAATCTAAAGAGACGACACTTTACACTCTCAAAACTTTACCGGTGATTTTATCTAATTTTAGTAAAAATGTTTAATTAGGCTTAATTTAATCCACATTTACTTTACAAACCTAAAAAAAATTCTTATTTTTAAGTGACTATATGTCAAAAATAAGACCTGAATCACTTTTTAAAGTGTAAACATGCCAGTGGAATAAAAATTACATATGTTGAAGAAATTCTGAAATAAAACATGTCCTCAATTTTAGAAACTTAATCTCCATTTTAAGAGACTTTTAAATTTAAGAGCCTTTTTTACTATTAAATGTTTTTTTCTTTTTAATCATTGCAATTTAGTCACAACTTTTAGGGTGTAATATCTTGAAATAAGACCTTTTTTTCTGGACCTGTGTAGGTGAATGTGGCTTCAATTAAGACTTTTTAATTTTATTTATTTATTTTTACTAGAAGTAAAACATAAACAGAGTGTGTTAAAGTCCATTTCCCATCACTTATAAAAGTAGGTAATTTGTTTAGTCTGGTTTATTCCTTGTGAAAATTAAATGCTTGATGGTTTTTCTATTTTTTATTTATTTTTTATTTTATTTTATTTATTTTTAACAACAAAACAGAGTGACAAAAACAACAACAAGAACAACAACAAAAAATCAAATAGAAAATTAACAAAAATACTTTTGTGAGGGAGGGGGAAAGAATATATATATGATAGAGAATTACAAAATAAATAATATAATAATATTTAAATGTTAATAAAATGGCATCTCAAAATATGTAAAATACACACTTAAGTGCGTTAACATTTCCTTTTGAGTTTAGGTAACTTGTAAATTTTGAATATCTCTTCAGCTCGTTAAAAACACGTAACCACAATCCAGCGAAAGCTTCTTAAACAGATGTTTAGTTTTTACATGGGGCTCTATGGGGGTCGACTCACTTTTAGATGCAGCCTCTAGTGGACATTCACGGAATTACAAATTTTGGCACTTTTGCTTCTTCATCAGTTAACTTTACTGTCTTTTTCTAGAGAGTATGAAACATCAAATCTAGTTTCTCTCTTTACTTTTCTTTTTCTAAATCAAATTTAGAGTCTGTGTTACGAAATCTTCGTCTTTATTTCTCGTCTCTTCAAACTCAGACCGCAGCAGTGGGCAGAAACATATTAAAACACCTCTTCTGTTAAATTCGGACGGTCACTTGTTTTTGTACGTTGGACACATGTAATAGAAGAACTGATAATACCTTTAAGGGGGTGGATGACATGAGGAGGATATTAGTGATGTCCAAACTGAGGCGTCCTTTTTACGAGCCGCGTGAACTTCATCCCCGGATAATAAAACGTGTTTTGTTCGACGTCTCCTCTGAAAAGTTCGCTCTCATCTGCGAGGCTTTCAGCGATCATTGTTTCAGTTTACAGTTTGTGTACATGCATCATCGGTATAAACTGTTAAAAGCCGCTTTTTCATCCTTTTGTACGGGACACGTCGAGAGCTTTTCAACAACCTGCTATGTAATCTGAATGCGTTATTATTTTATTCAAGGAACAGCTGAAAAGGAGAGCGAGAGAGAGAGAGATGAGAGTTTTTAAACAAAGTCCCTCGCTCGGCCGTTGTGTGGGCTGCTCTGCTGAATAAAAAACCGGCTTTCATCTCTCTCTTTCTCTCTCTTTTCTCTCTCTCTCTACATCAACCTCCCCTCCACCAACTCAGTGTCAAGTTCTGCTATGAGACACACAATGATCTGTGAGTGTGTGTGCGGTGGAATGAGGAGCTGGCTGTCCTTTTGGCAGGCAGCGGTATACTGAAGCACCTCTCAGAGAAAAAAAAAACGGGACTATTATTGAACTGCTGAGAAACGCTCTCATCTCGCTGTGGAACACATTGCTTTCGCTCCTTTCTTTCTCACACATAAATGCAGTTAAACACGCTCAGGGCTGCTCCACACTTACACATATGTCTCTGCAGTAAAGGTCCCGAAGGAGAACCGCCGAGTCAAGCTGTGCCTGATGGAGTTCCTCAGGGAACGTACTGAGGTCCTCCGAACTTTGAGTGGATGATAAATAAACCCCAAACTCCACTTTTTAGTGGGTTGAAGCAGACAGAGTGACCCCGATTTGTACAGAAAACTCGTAAAACGTTGAAAAATTTCAGGGTTAGCAGTCGAAATGTTCACCTTCAAATCTTTTCCCGCCTCATTAAATTTCTATGTAAAATAGGAATAAGCTAAATGAGAGGATACCAGGAGTTTAAAGGACAGGTTAAAGGGATATTCCGGGGTAAAATTAATCAGAATCGCCGCTACACAACATCACATTGGCGCTGATCTGCTTCAGACCGTTTCTCTGATTGTTTCTGTTCTTCATTGAATTGATTCAACGGTCATTTAATTGTGATTTTTAATTATTTTCTTTCTTCTTTAAACCGTCCAGAATCATCGTTTGGTGACTTAGTGGTTTTAATCTGTTTGCTTTCAGGTTTTTAAATCACTTTGTTGTTGTTTTTTTTTAATTACTAATGCCAGCAGGCTCCTTATTGTCATCCCAGAGGGTTTTTTAGCGTTTTATAATCTGAAAAAAATCATCATTTTAATTTCCTTTTTGTTCTCTTTAAATGATTAATAAGAGCTAATATACGTGTCACCGTTTTTTTATGGTATTTTACGACATTTAATAAAGTCAGAGGGACAAAAAAGTCTGTTAAGATCTTTAAATTTCTCATTTAAAGGGAAATTCCGGCGTAAAATTAATTTAGGGTCAAACACTGAGTTAGACACCCCCTCTAGAGATGAATTTTGCTGACCGCTTGCTTCTCTAGTTACTCACCTACTCTCTTCCAGCAGCCACTTGTTTGTAGCAAGACCTCAATCAGTCCATTACGGACTACAGCGGGGTGCCGCAGCTCAAGGAAGAACATTTATGACTATTACTTCTTGGAAATACAATCAGACCGAGATGCTAATTTAGAAGAACTACCGCGTCTGCAGAGAAAAATGATAAATATGATGATTATTACTTCAAGGAAATGATAAAGAAATGATCATAAATGTTCTTCCTTGAGCTGCGGCACCCCACTGTAGTCCGTAATGGACTGGCCTGAGGTCTCCGTACAAACAAGCGGCTGTTGGAAGAGAGTAGTTGAGTTGTGTTTAGTCTCTTTGCTTAACCCTCCTCTTGTGTTAGTTTCTGCACCGACCCGTTTTTGTTTTTAAATGCTTAAAAGAACCACAAGAATTAGCTTTTTAGCATCAAGACTTTTTGACTTTGTCTTTGTTGAGAAATATACAGTTTGCATAGATAAAGCCCAGGTTTAGATTTAGTCTAAACTAGGTCTAAATTTAGACATCCAAAAAACCTTCATTTTTAGACCTGTGGTAGCCTGATTTTAGACCGGTGTCTAGGCTACATTTAGACGTCTAATAGACCTCTTTTAGACCGAAAAACGCTTAGTGGGTTGTCTATAAGATCAACAAGAATAGTTCCCAGTTTCAAACTGTCACTTCGCTGGATTAGTGAAGTGAAATCATCACTTAGCCGACCATTAGTGATCCCCCAGGAGTCCAGGATAAGACCCTGACACAGGTGGCGGCAGATGAAACAAATGTTGGGTATCGTCACGGGACGACTGATGGGATAATCTCGATCAGATCCCAACTCAGAAGTGAACTGATGGTCTGATTAAAAATGAAGATCCTAATTACTGAGGTTCAGATCTCAGTAATCAAGACCACTTCAGATTTGATTGATTTACCTGTTCAGTCTCCTGTGAGGAACAGAGATGGTTTTGTGTTGAATTGAGAGAGTAACACATCAGCCACCTCGTGATCTGGACAAAATAAACACTGTTCAGTTTTTTTAAACACACGTAGACGTTTCAGCGCATCGGTGGAAACTGGTTTAAGAAGATAATCAATCATGTTCATCGACCTGAAGCCGATCAAACGTCAGCAGATGTATCTTTGTGCGACACGCAGCCCTGACGTGTCAGACCTGTCCAGACCTCCTGTGAAATAACACACACACACACACACACACACACACACACACACACACTCCTGGTTTACAGTTTATGTTGCATAACCACTGTAAAGTGTACTTTTTGTGTGTGTATGGCGCCCTCTGTTGGACAAAACTGAAAATTGCAATAAAGCTGAAAACAATGATTTCAAAGATCATCTATTAGGAAGATGATCCACTCAGCAGTTATTTGTTGGTACAAGTTTTTGTGCTTCTTAAAGTACCCAGACTTTTGTTTTCATATTTCAGGGCAGTGGTTCTCAACAGGTGGGTCCCGACCCAAAAGTGGGTCACGGACATGTTCTGGATGGGTCACGAACAGCTGGTCAAAAAAGTCTTTTATATTAATCAAATTTTTCATTTTGCTGTTCTCCATTTTGTGCAATTTGATGTTTTATGTAACCAACTTCAGTAGTTGTCGTCCTCAGTTCATTTGCTCTGAAATGCACTTTACTGAATAAATTGGGTGCATTTACGTTAAAGATTTGAGTCTTTAAAACAATATTTACTAGGTTTGAATTTTATAAAAGTGGGTCCTGACATAAGGACTATGGGAAAATGTGGGTCCCAGAGTGAGACCAGTAGAGAACCATTGTTTTAGGGTACCTAAAATTCATAGTTTGGGATCAGGGTCCCAATTCCTAAGCTCATACACTTTTGTTTTGCATTATTGTGAGTTTGGCTGTACACTTTTGCTCATTTTTCTGACTCATATGACTGAAGAGCCTTTCAGAAATGCACAAAGTATCTGAAAATCTCCTAAAATCACCCTCTGGATGAGCTGCATGTGTCCCTCCTTGGGCCCTGCTATCGCCTTTCTCTTTTTGTATCAGAAAGCACACACAGAGTGATCTCTCTTCACTTTAAACCCATCTTTGTCCCTCCTCTCCCCTCTTATTGGTCCAGCCGCTGCCACTTCTTCCACTCTGATTGGCCCGGAGCTGAGCAAGCGTCGCGCCCGGAGCGGAAGTGATTACTGGGAGGTTTTTGCAGCTGTGATGATCCAGAGGAGGATGTGTGAACTGAAAGATAACAGACGTTTTAACGGCTTTTAACAAAAATAAACACTTTTAGAGCAGGTGGGAGACTCAGGGAGGGCCACGGCGATGATTTTAGCGGGATATCTGCCGTTTATGGCGATCTTTTCATCGGTCTTAGCGGCAAAACCCGGAGGGGACGATGACTGGGTTCATCTGCCGAACAAATGTGAAGGTAAGAGGGACTGTTAGGGGTTCAAAAGAGGGTCTGAGGACATTTAGGGAGACTTAACAATCTATAGAGACTAATAAAGGTCATTTAATGAGGATTCCTGTTGAAAAAGGCCGTGAATTTTTCTGAATAGAGGTGTTTATTTTGCACCACCTTTGTTTACATGTGATATTGTTATACGTAACTACAACATATTTCATTATTTTCATCCAAATAATCTTAACTTTACGTTTACGGTGTTTAATCTGTTTAATCTGTAAATATGTTTCACAAAGTCCCGAAAAAATCAGAAAAATAGCAGTAAAATAACATCGAAAAGCTCTTTTCCAGCAGCCGCTTCAGGCCGGTACATTACAAACTACAGCGGGGTGCCGCAGCTCAAGGAAGAACATTTATGATCATTCCTTCATGGAAATACAATCAGACCGAGACGCTAAGGCAGAAGAACTACCGCGTCTGCAGTGAAAAATGATTAATATGATGATTATAACTTCAAGGAAATGATAAAGAAATGATCATAAATGTTCTTCCTTGAGCTGCGAAACCCCGCTGTTGTCCGTAAAGGACTGGCCTGAGGTCTCCTCAAGGAGGTGTCTAACTGACCCTAAATTAATTTTACACCGGAATATCCCTTTATGTTCTCGATCAGAGTTGACCCAGAAGATGATCCGCTGGTGTCATAGTTGGTGGACATGTTGAGACAGAGGCGTTGCTTTTCGTTCTCTAAATTGAAGCGTACAGCATGAATGATTCTGCCGTTTTGTGGAGCTGCAGGTCGTATTATTTTGTCGTTTCAGTTACAAACAGGGCTTCCAAAAGTCTGTCATGTAAGATTGAACAAAATGCTTCCGACAATTTCAGGTCAGTGGAAGCAAAACTGGAAACAAAAACACTTTTTTGCCCGGTTCTGTTCTGATTCGCGGAATAGTCAAATGGAGCGTGTTGTTTGAGCGCATGAATAAGAAAGAGCTAAGCTAAGAAGAACCTTATAAATTAGAGTCATCCAGCGAGCGTACCTGCGAGTACTCAGAAAAGGTCAGACAGACTCGGCATAAAGTTTGCAACGATGCGTTAGGCGACTACAACCAGTAACAAATCTCAGCGCACAGTGATAGACAGGTGTAAAAAGTCGTAGAAAGCTCGTGATCGACAAGAAAGCCGGGATATTTATACACAGATACAAACTCAGTGGGAACACCCTGTGAAGTTAAGGTAACTCACTATTGCGCGAAAATACCGTGAGTTTGGTTTTATTCGCGTTCAAGACCAGTTTGCATTAAATGTATTCAATGAGGCTGAAAACATCCGTTTTCGTCCTCTGGTGGTGACTTTTTCTGCCCAGCTGTTTTTTGTTTTGGTTCTGTGGTTTTAAACGAGAGTCTGACAGCATCAGGAGGAGGAAAAATCTCCAAGTAAGGACTTAGAGAAGAAACCTCTCCATCATTGGTGGACTAAACTGGCTCTGGTCTCTTCCTCTTCAGTGTGTAAATTCGTCAGTATTGAGATGAAGTCGGCCTTCCAGGAGACGGGGAAGACAAAAGAAGTCATCGACAGGAACTACCGCTTCATTGACAGCAAGGGGGCGCCGCCAATCCCATACGTCAAATCGTAAGTGTTTGTTGTCTTTTCGTCTTTTGTCTCCCGCTGTTTGATGTGAAACTTCTGGGTATAAATAATGGAGAAAGCGTCTTTGTGAAGCTTCAGAGCAGGAATTAAACCTCCGCTCTGCCGTCTCCGGAGGGTTCTGGATCTCTCTCTGTCAAACAGGCGGCAGGGGACAGGAACTTGGTCAGGTCTCAGTTCCTGTGGAGGAACTTTTTATAGAACAGGGAAGCTGCAGAGCGGTCGGTGGAGGGGGTGTGATCGCAGCCGTCAGTCAGTGGAAACTCATTTAGCTGCATGTGAGATAAAGAAACCTTCAGCAGCATCATTTCCTACAAAAAAAACACTCAAACTGAACCCCAGAGGTCGAGGCACATGAGGCTGAAACTGTTCTGGATGTCTGATGAGTTCAATGTCCAAATATCCAGATGACGTGACGTGAAGCTCTGACTCTTCCTCTGTGGTTTCTCCTCTTTCTGTCTCTCTCTCTCTCCGCAGAGACCTGAGATTCATCGAGGTTGTAGAAAATGTGTGTCAGAGGCTGTTAGAGTACAACCTGCACAAAGAGAGGTCTGGGAGTAACCGCTTCGCCAAGGTCAGTCTGTGTGTGTGTGTGTGTGTGTGTGTGTGTGTGTGTGTGTGTGTGTCTGTGTCTGTGTCTGTGTCTGTGTATGTCTGTTTCACTTTGACATTGAGTTTTCAGGGACTCCTGGATGTGACTGTCAGTGCTGCTTTTATCGACTTCTCTCTTTTATTTTGACAGAATGTTGCCGACCGCTTGCTTCTCCAGTTATACCAACTTTAGTAACGACCGCATAATAGCAATACACAGCGGTCTGAGGAGCCATAAACAAACCTCAACCAAGACGCCACTCTATAGCCACAAATAATGCTCAGAACAGCACCTAACTTCATCAACAGGACATATAGGGTCACAGCCATAGTACTAGACACCAAACATCTTTTTAACTTTGACTCATTTCTTCAGCGAAGAGACTAAACACAACTCACCTACTCTCTTCCAGCAGCCGCTTGTTTGTAGCAAGACCTCAGGCCAGTCCATTATGGACTACAGCGGGGTTTCGCAGCTCAAGGAAGAACAAGGAAGAATATAGTATGATACAAAGTATAGTATTTTAAAAATTTCAAATTTTACTGTGAACAAAAAGTCATATTAGAGTGTGGAAATTAATGTCATTGTATAGTTTGTAAAAAATTTCAAGTTTGAGTGCAAATTTTTTTTTTTGTATTTTATTAAAAAAAAAACTGTCATAGTGTGTTTTTTTAATTGAAAATTTGAATGTGAAAAAAAAATCATATTTTGATATGAAAAAAATGCAGTAGTATAGTACGATAAAAATGTCAAGGCATAGAATTTTAAAAATTTGGTGAAAAGAAAAATATATATTTAGTATGAAAAAATGTAGTATATTGTGTAAAAAAATTCCAAATTTCACTGTGGAAAAAAATTCATATTAAGTATGAGAAAAAAAGCCTTAGTACAGTATGATAAAAATGTCATAGTATAGTATGTTAAAAAATTCAAATTTAAGTAAAATTTAAGCCGTTTTCATTCATTTCAGTTCCAGGATTTTCAATTCCTTTACTGTATAAAAAAAATGTCAACGTGGATTAGCAGCGGAAACAAATCTCCAAAATTTCTCAGACACTGAACGTCAACACAAAAATATTGTTGCTGTCTTAAATCCGACCAGCAGATGTGTGTGTGTGTCCTGTAGGGTATGTCAGAGACCTTCTCCACCCTCCACGGTCTGGTGAATAAAGGCGTGAACGTGGTGATGGACATCCCCTACGAGCTGTGGAACGAGACTTCAGCGGAGGTGGCGGACCTGAAAAAACAGGTGTTTAACTTTTCTTTAATACAATGTGACAAGATTAATACAAACTGTTTATTTTAACGTTTAATTTCATGAAGGACTTTTACAACATTTAACACTTAGACATGAATCATTGCTGGACTAAATATCGACTCTGTGCTCATGTGTGTTTGTTTCAGTGTGACGTGTTGGTGGAGCAGTACGAGGAGGTGATTGAGGACTGGTACAAAGGGAGTCAGGAGGAGGACCTGACCATTTACCTGTGTGAGAAACACGTCCTGAAAGGGCAAGACGCAGGTGAGACTCCACTCCCTCTTTCTGCTCTTTTTCTCCTCATTGGATGGTATTTCCATGAACAGGTTTAGAATTCAGGATATCCAAATCCAACTGAGGCTAAATTTGTGTTGATTTTGTCGTTTTGATGTCCTCCCTTCTCTCCTTGTCTTTTCCCTCCAGCCTGCCTGAAAGAGGAGGGGTCGAAGCTGAAGAAAGGAGACCAGGCAGCCATCGCGGAGGACAAGAAGAAGAAGAAAAAGAAGAAGGGAGGGAAGAAGGGGAAGGGAAAGAGCGAGGAGGGAGAGGAGGGAGGCGACGGCAGCTCGGACGGGGAGAAGACGACGACGAAGAAGAAGAAGAAGGACAAGGTGAAGAAGAAGAAAAAGAGCAAAGCTCCCGTGGAGAAGACGGAGGGAGGAGGGGCGACATCGGACGAGGACATCCAGCCTCAGGTACCTTTGTCTGGGCAGAAGACAGAGCTGTGAGTCCTGGTTCCTGTCTGGACCTGGATCAGGTCTCTGTAATGAAAGTAAACTCTTAGTAAAGCTGCTTCTTTAAACATCTTCAACTGCCGATAAATCGGAGGTTCATCTGGAACTGTTACTCGAGTTTTTAAGCTTCTGTTTTTGTTTTTGAAACATGTTACAGGTTAAAAAGTGAAACTTATATTTAATTCTTTCCTCTAAAATTGATTTTAAGTTATTTTCTTTGTTTTGGCGCTTCATCTTTAAAAGTCAAAAGCAAATTTTAACCCTAAAAACTCGACTTTGTCACCGTCAAATCTACAAAACCCTTTACAACGACACATTTCAGTCATTTTTAAAAACTAAAATCAACATTATCCATGTCACCTGACATCTTTAGAGTCACGATTTCTTCTTGTTTAATGGTTTTTCACCAAATTTTGGAACCGGCCTCTAGTGGACACTTGAAGAACTGCAGCTTTTAAACTCTGATTCTCGTTCCTGCATCCGTTTGTCAACGCCGCCGGTTGCCTCTCGCTCAGTACTCGTGTTAAAAGTTTTTTTTTTTTTACATCTTATCGACATAATTCAATCCAGAAATAATCGAAAACGTAAAATCATTAACGTGGCGCTTTGCTATAAGAAGTCTGAAATTATTCCAGCTCTCTCATTGGCTAAAACGGCTGCTTGTTTAGACCTCAGATGACTTTTGAAGGACCTTCAATGAGGAGTTTCAAATCTGTAAGGGCGTTTCATTTTTCCTTTTCCGCTCTGTGAATGTATCCGTCGTTTTGCAGTTAAACTCGGTGTGAATATTTTTTTTAATCTCTTCTTTTTTTTTTTTGAAAGTCATGTTCTTTTACTTTTGAAGGACCATTGCGGATGTTCAGATTGTGATGCCTGAGACGGTTTGTGTATTTTGTACTCGTACGTTGATGCTGAAAGGGAATTGCGCTTTAGACACCTGAAGTTCATCATGAGGTACTTGTGTTTTTTTTTATGTCAGTGATTTGTTTTTGTATAATTGTTTCTCGATCATTCCTCTGTTCGTATGTGCTGTAAAAAGCTGCTATTTAACGTGTGTATTTGTGAGTTTGTGCGTTTGTGCGTGCCTGTTGACTCCCTAGTTAAAGATGAAGTTTCAAGTGTGTGCGTGTGTTTTGCAACTTGAATGTGTGTGTTTTTACAGATTTTTATTCTGGAATAAAATGCTGGTTGTGTTGAACTGGAGCAGCTTTTTGAAACCATGAGCTGAATGCATCACTGGATCAATAAAAATGGGTAATAAAACACTGTAAACTTCCTGAGTGGCTTATTTCTGAGTCCAAATAGAGTCATTTTGTGAGTTTTGGATGTTTCTTAAGCATTTATGAAGCCAAAATTTTCTTCTTCTTAGTACCAGCTTTCTTTGCTATCAGGTAACCACAGGGTGAAGTGAAAACTTCTGAACACTAGAGGGAGGCAGAGTCTCAATTTTAAAACTGAGATGAAGCAGGAAAAGAGATTTTTGTTGTTGACAGCAATAGTAAGATTATTAAGGGGGTGAAAATAAAGTGATAATTTCAAATTTAAGTGTGAGAGAAAATTTCATTTTTGAGTTTGAAAAAAAGTAATTGTATAGTATGATAAAATGTCATAGTATAGTATGTTAAGAATTTCAAATTTTAGTGAGAAATTTATTTTCTTGTTTCAGTGTGAAAAATAATGGCATAGCATAGTATGTGAAAAATGTCATAGTATAGTCTGATTAAAAATGTCATAGTATAGTTTTTTAAAAATTTCAAATTTTAGTGTAGAAAAAAAATTCATATTTTAGTGTATAAAAAATGTCATAGTATAGTATGATAAAAATGTCATAGTATAGTATGTTAAAAATTTCAAATTTTAGTGTGAAATTTTTTTTCATCTTTTAGTGTGAAAAATAATGTCATAGTATAGTATGATAAAAATGTCATAGTATAGTATGTTAAAAAATGTCAAATTTTAGTGTGGAAAAAAATTTCATATTTTAGTGTGAAAAGAATGTCATAGTATAGTATGATAAAAATGTCATAGTATAGTATGTTAAAAATGTCAAATTTTAGTGTGGTAAAAAATTTCATATTTTAGTGTGAAAAAAATGTCATAGTATAGTATGATGAAAATGGCATAGTATAGTATGTTAAAAATTCCAAATTTTAGTGTGAAATTTTTTTTCATGTTTTAGGTTGAAAAAAATGTCATAGTATAGTATGATGAAAATGGCATAGTATAGTATGTTAAAAATTTCAAATTTAGTGTGAAATTTTTTTCATGTTTTAGTGTGAAAAGAATGTCATAGTATAGTACGATAAAAATGTCATAGTATAGTATGTTAAAAATTCCAAATTTTAGTGTGGATAAAAATTTCATATTTTAGTGTGAAAAAAATGTCATAGTATAGTATGCTAAAAATGTCAAATTTTAGTGTGAAATTTTTTTCCATGTTTTAGTGTAAAAAATAATGTCATAGTATAGTATGATAAAAATGTCATAGTATAGTATGTTAAAAATGTCAAATTTTAGTGTGAAATTTTTTTTCATGTTTTAGTGGGAAAATAATGTCATAGTATAGTATGATGAAAATGGCATAGTATAGTATGTTAAAAATTTCAAATTTTAGTGTAGAAAAAAAAATCATATTTTAGTGTATAAAAAATGTCATAGTATAGTATGTTAAAAATTTCAAATTTTAGTGTGGAAAAAAATTTCATATTTTAGTGTGAAAAAAATGTCATAATATAGTATGATAAAAATGTCATAGTATAGTATGTTAAAAATTCCAAATTTTAGTGTGGAAATTTTTTTTCATGTTTTAGGTTAAAAAAATGTCATAGTATAGTATGATGAAAATGGCATAGTATAGTATGTTAAAAATTTCAAATTTTAGTGTGAAATTTTTTTTCATCTTTTAGTGTAAAAAATGTCATAGTATAGTATGCTAAAAATTTCAAATTTTAGTGTGAAATTTTTTTCCATGTTTTAGTGTAAAAAATAATGTCATAGTATAGTATGATAAAAATGTCATAGTATAGTATGTTAAAAATGTCAAATTTTAGTGTAGAAAAAAAATTCATATTTTAGTGTATAAAAAATGTCATAGTATAGTATGATAAAAATGTCATAGTATAGTATGTTAAAAAATGTCAAATTTTAGTGTGGAAAAAAATGTCATGTTTTCGTGTGAAAAGAATGTCATAGTATAGTATGATAAAAATGTCATAGTATAGTATGTTAAAAATTTCAAATTTTATTGTGGAAAAAAATCACGTTTTAGTGTGAAAAAAATGTCATCATATAGTATGTTAAAAATGTCATAGTATAGTATGTTAAAAATTTCAAATTTTAGTGTGAAATTTTTTTTCATGTTTTAGTGTAAAAAATAATGTCATAGTATAGTATGATAAAAATGTCATAGTATAGTATGTTAAAAATTTCAAATTTTAGTGTGGAAAAAAATTTCATATTATAGTGTGAAAAAAATGTCATAATATAGTATGATAAAAATGTCATAGTATAGTATGTTAAAAATTTCAAATTTTAGTGTGAAATTTTTTTCATCTTTTAGTGTAAAAAATGTCATAGTATAGTATGCTAAAAATGTCAAATTTTAGTGTGAAATTTTTTTCCATGTTTTAGTGTAAAAAATAATGTCATAGTATAGTATGATAAAAATGTCATAGTATAGTATGTTAAAAATTTCAAATTTTAGTGTAGAAAAAAAAATCATATTTTAGTGTAGAAAAAATGTCATAGTATAGTATGTTAGCAATGTCATAGTATAGTATGTTAAAAATGTCAAATTTTAGTGTAGAAAAAAAAATCATATTTTAGTGTATAAAAAATGTCATAGTATAGTATGTTAAAAATGTCATAGTATAGTATGTTAAAAATTTCAAATTTTAGTGTGGAAAAAATTTTTATATTTTAGTGTGAAAAGAATGTCATAGTATAGTATGTTAAAAATGTCATAGTATAGTATGTTAAAAATTTCAAATTTTAGTGTGGAAAAAAATTTCATATTATAGTGTGAAAAAAATGTCATAATATAGTATGATAAAAATGTCATAGTATAGTATGTTAAAAATTCCAAATTTTAGTGTGAAATTTTTTTTCATGTTTTAGGTTGAAAAAAATGTCATAGTATAGTATGATGAAAATGGCATAGTATAGTATGTTAAAAATTTCAAATTTTAGTGTGAAATTTTTTTCATCTTTTAGTGTAAAAAATGTCATACTATAGTATGATAAAAATGTCATAGTATAGTATGTTAAAAATTTCAAATTTTAGTGTGACATTTTTTTTCATGTTTTAGTGTGAAAAGAATGTCATAGTATAGTATGATAAAAATGTCATAGTATAGTATGTTAAAAATTTCAAATTTTATTGTGGAAAAAAATCACGTTTTAGTGTGAAAAAAAATGTCATCATATAGTATGTTAAAAATGTCATAGTATAGTATGTTAAAAATTTCAAATTTTAGTGTAGAAAAAAAATTCAGATTTTAGTGTATAAAAAATGTCATAGTATAGTATGATAAAAATGTCATAGTATAGTATGTTAAAAATGTCAAATTTTAGTGTAGAAAAAAAATTCATATTTTAGTGTATAAAAAATGTCATAGTATAGTATGATAAAAATGTCATAGTATAGTATGTTAAAAATTTCAAATTTTAGTGTGGAAAAAAAAATTATATTTTAGTGTGAAAAGAATGTCATAGTATAGTATGTTAAAAATGTCATAGTATAGTATGTTAAAAATTTCAAATTTTAGTGTGGAAAAAAATTTCATATTATAGTGTGAAAAAAATGTCATAATATAGTATGATAAAAATGTCATAGTATAGTATGTTAAAAATTCCAAATTTTAGTGTGAAATTTTTTTTCATGTTTAAGGTTGAAAAAAATGTCATAGTATTGTATGATGAAAATGGCATAGTATAGTATGTTAAAAATGTCAAATTTTAGTGTGAAATTTTTTTCATGTTTTAGTGTGAAAAGAATGTCATAGTATAGTATGATAAAAATGTCATAGTATAGTATGTTAAAAATTTCAAATTTTAATGTGAAATTTTTTTCATCTTTTAGTGTACAACATAATGTCATAGAATAGTATGATAAAAATGTCATAGTATAGTATGTTAAAAATTTCAAATTGTAGTGTGAAATTTTTTTTCATGTTTTAGTGTGAAAAGAATGTCATAGTATAGTATGATAAAAATGTCATAGTACAGTATGTGAAAAATGTCAAATTTTAGTGTGGAAAAAAATGTCATGTTTTAGTGTGAAAAAAATGTCATAGTATAGTTTGTTAAAAATGTCATAGTATAGTATGCTAAAAATGTCAAATTTTAGTGTGAAATTTTTTTCCATGTTTAACTGTGAAAAAAATGTCATAGTATAGTATGATAAAAATGTCATAGTATAGCATGTTAAAAATGTCAAATTTTAGTGTGGAAAAAAATGCTATGTTTTCGTGTGAAAAGAATGTCATAGTATAGTATGATAAAAATGTCATTGTATAGTATGTTAAAAATGTCAAATTTTAGTGTGGAAAAAAAATTAATATTTTAGTGTGAAAAGAATGTCATAGTATAGTATGATAAAAATGTCAAAGTATATTAAGGAAAAAATGTCTTGGTATAGTATGATAAAAATATAATTGCATAGTTTTTTAAACAAATATAAAGCTTTATGATAAAAACGTCACAGTATTCTAAGCCAAAAATGTTTAATTATAGCATGGTAAAAAATATATTAAAAAAAATCAAAGTATGATAAAAAATCATAGTAAAGTAAGTTAAAGATGTTATATTTAATCCAAAAAACTATTCTATAGTATGATAAAATGTCATAATATAACTGGAAAAAAAATATTATAGGGCAGCACTAAGTGGTGATCGGCTGCTTCATCTGGATCATGTAACAAGCCGTTGTTGCACTTATTTAGTTTGTAGTTTTAACTTTACTTTTACCAACCATCAATTTGTTAATGTGGAGCACTGTGATAGAAAAATGATTTTCATATGAAATTTAACATAAACAAAGTCTACATGTAAAAAAATTATAAAAGCAATGATTGAAATGATAAAATACACATTTTAAATAGTATTAATATTAAATGTGAGTTTTATCTGTAACTGTTAATGAGTGTCTGCTTAGAAAAATCAATAAAAACATCAGACCTGGTCCTTTTTAAACCTTTAATGTGCAGTCGTTAATCACAAGTTTCTCAGGAAACAAACAGGTTATATCCAAACTGACCACCACTTGCACTTGAGCGCACCAACATTTCCATTTAAAAGCAAAGATTTACAGTCCAAAGATAATTCCAACTAGAAAATGATTCAATCTAAACTATTTTAAATTAACTGCTGACTGATGAAACTTAAAAGCTTTTAAGTAAATGATCAAATTGTCCCAAATCTTCACTTTTAATCGTGACTTAAGTCTCTAAACACTGAAAAGGTGAAATAATAAATCCAGACTCTAAACATTTCTACGGCTAAAATCAGGAAAATCAACTCCAGGATCTGCCGGGGATGAGTCCTGAAAGGCAAGAAGAGACACAATTAGTTTTTCATATTTGACACATCGAAAGACAAAAATCAGTGCTGAGGATGTCAAACTGGACTGTGGTGAGACTCCGAGAAACTCTCAGGCTACTTCACTGATCATGGAGTTGTTTGTTTTTTTACTGTGATGTCTTTTGAAACAGTCAAAATAAAAATAAGTGAAAAGTTTTACTGAATTTGTGCTTAAGATCTGTTTGCACTTATTTTTGCATGACTGTCAGAGAAGCTGATGTAAGTCTAAAAATATCTATAAATGAATGAATGATTGAAACTTCAGCTGTGTTTGGTGTCCTTATTCTTGTGTCTCTTATATCAATAAAACGTTGGACTTTTAACTCTGGTGTTTAATGTGATTCTTTATGATTTAGTACAATAGAGTTAATATGCACTACACTTAAAGAAAACACTATAAATACAGGGAATTAAGGGCTTAATTAGTGAACAAGAGAGAGAGAGATGTTAAAATCATAATCTCTTTAAAATTAATATCCTTGTTAGATTAGATTTCTGACAACTAAATTAAAATATTTCTATAATTAACGTGTTTTTAGCAGTTGTTCTTGTAACTTATTATTTTAGTGAGCTTCCAATGTAAAGTGCTCAGGATTTAAGCTTGTAGTTTTTTCCCTCTCTCAAATAAAACTGAGTAAAAACATGTATTTAGGTTAGCTAGAGTTTAAGTCACAGTGTACTGATTCAACACGACTCTGGACTTGGACTTGAAGCTTTTATTTTCTTTGTATTGTTCTTTGTGGAAGGGGAATTTAGATTTACTCCTTTATCAATTGGTCTTATAAAACTGTAGGCTGAGAGTACATAAAGTTCACTAACTGCTTCAAGAATAACACGTCACAATTTTATACTACATGTATGTTTGTGATCAGATACAAAAGTGTAATAATTTATTGAATTATCCATAAATATATTGATGAAAAATGATAAAATGTGTTGGTGTATGATTTCTTATTTTAAATAAAGTAGAATAATACTGTCTTTATTTATAGCAGGGCAGTTTTGTGTAGAAATGGCGCCCTCGGGTGGACAATTATAATTCAATGAGTCTTTTAGAGACCACTGCAGTTAACAGCTAGAATTAATGACTTATTATTATTGTTTACATGATGTTATAGATGTTTTACTTATAAAATAGTTTGTTTTATGTTGTTCGTATTTATCTGGTTTCAAAACAACATTACATGAAAATAACGTAACTTTCAAGTCATGAAAAATAAACTTTGAGTGATTTAATTTACAGAAACATTCACAGAGAAGTCAGTGATACATCTGTTTTTGTTTATTTATGCAGCGAATTAAATAAAAAACACTTCAATGTCAGCTGATTTTGGATTATTGGTGAATAAATTCATTAAATCATAGCCACTTCTACATTTTCTAAAGTCGTGTCTCGTCTACAACGCAGTAACTAATTTTCCAGTAATTGAAACACTGATGAACTTTAAAAACACAGATAATAACATTACCTCAGAGTATCCGCCACTCTGTTTGATGATCCTCCTCTTCCTCTAGTGTGTCGAGTCCATCTGCGACACCTGAACCATAAAATACAACAAATTAATCATCAGAGTTTGAGTTTATTTTGGGTTAAACTTGACCACATTTGTGTCAGAAATTTGTAAAATTTGTCAACTTCACTTCCATTTCAATACAGAGTTTCTGCAGGTTTCAACAAGTCAAAATAAAAAACTTTGAATAATGAAATTCAAAAATTTTATACCACATGTATGTTTCTGTCTGAAACAAAGGTGTAATTTTTTTTTTTAATTATCCATAAAAATATAAGTTAAAAAATTATAAAATGTGTTGGTTTCTTATTTGTTTAAAAATCTTGAATTTCCCTCAAGGATTAATAAAGTATCTTTTTACCAAATTTAAGACATTTTCAGACTTTTTTAAGACCATAATGAAAACAATTTAAAATCCATTTTACATCCATTCTGGAAAGTACAAAAGAAATGAAGGTAAACTGGAACATTTTAAACTAACTTCAAATCAATCTTTATTTTTAAGTAACATCAACACATTTTTAAGACCTTTCTAATTTGTATTTAAGACATTTTAAAAGGTTTTAAGAGGATTTTAGACATTAAATTTACACTATTAGATTTTAGATGTTTTAAGACTTTTTAATAAAACCAAACAGAAACCCTGCAATAATAATTTTGATTAAATAAACGACAAAGCATTACAACAGTTAGCTCTACCTGGTCACTAACATATTACCAGGCTTTACCACGAGCGCGGTTAGCCTGTTAGCATTAGCGTTAGCATTATCCGCTCAGAGTCTTCGTGTTTCTGTTCCCTTCTCTTTTACTCACCTCAAAAGTCGCGATGCGCTGTCATTCAGAATATGTCGTCCTCTTTAAACAGCACTGTCCTTTCTTCTTCTTTGTAGTATTTTGATTTAAAAAACGTTGATGGTTTTCTAGGGTTGATGCCTTCTGAACGTGACTCGCAGCCGGGGTTATTTATACCCTCGGTCGGTGGGCCATGGGCGTGGCTCTGTCTGGGTCATGTGAGAAGCGGATATCCGGTGGAGGAAAAACGTTTTGTATTAGCCTAAAATTGTTTGTTTTTACCGATATTTCAATCACATTTCTAGCCAAACTCAAAGAACGAGTCAAATACGCTATTTTTTTACGCTAATTTTTGGAAATTTTTCAAATTAAAGGACGTATTTTTGTCACAAAACGGCAGACAATTGCCATCTGTTTGTTTAATCTATACTGGCCTGTAAATGTAAAAAAGTGAAATAAGTTAAAATAAATTAAAATAAAAAGATAAATAGATAAAATAAGTAAAAATAAAGAGATAAATACATAAAACAAGTCAAATTAAGTAAAAATACAGGGATAAATAGATAAAATAATTAAAAATAATTAAAAATAAAGAGATAAATAAATAAAATAAGTAAAAATAAAGAGATAAATAGATAAAATAAGTAAAAATAATTAAAAATTAAGAGATAAATAGATAAAATAAGTGAACATAAATTAAAATAGAGATAAATAGAATGAATAAGTAAAAATAAGTAAAAATAAAGAGATAAATTGATAAAATAAGTAAAACTAAGTAAAAATACAGAGATGAATAGATAAAATAAGTCAAAATAAGTAAAAATAAAGAGATAAAATAAGTAGAATAAGTAAAAATAAAGAGATAAGATACAAGTATGTACACTACATACAACACAAAATAGAAACATAGTACACATGTAAACAGTGAGCAGAGTCCAGGTAAAGACGACTGACGGAGGGTGGAGTTAAAAAGTCTGATGACCACCAGCAGGAATGATTTCCTGTTGCGCTGATTTTTTTTTGCTTAAGCGACAAAATTTGGTCAGAATTCACAAAGTACACAACAGAAATTCTTGGGGGAAAAGTCTGAACAAATCCAGGATTTATTCTCGGTTGAATAAAAATAGAAGAAAGCTTCATTGATTCCTTCATTGGTAGAGCAGGTGCATCCCTGCAGTACCTCAACCAAACACTAGGTGTCAGCATTTCATTATTGTATGAGTGGTTTCAGCTTCACCTTCCACTGAACTGACCAGCAGTCAAATCCACTTAAGCCGGGACAAAATGAAATGGCCTCTGAGAGAGAGAGAGAGAGTGTGAGTGTGTGTTTCTAAAGTGAATTCAATCCATCAGCCTTTTCTGTGCTTTCAGCAATCTAATCCACACACTTCGAGGCGTGTGTGTGTGTGTGTGAGTGTGTGTGCCATGCTTGATATCAGTTATCTCTTGATAGGTTTGTTCCTGAGTGCATGCATGTGCAGTTTTTACGATGACGTGTGGTCGCTCGTACGCACCTAGAAATCTAAAAAGTCCAGACCTGGAGGAGCAGGAGTGTAAAAAAAACTAAACACGGAGTAGGTAACCCATTAACCGTCCAAACAGGGTATTTTATACGGAGGGAGACGTGGACTCTCTCTGTGTGTGTGTGTGAGGTGTTTGATGTGTTTATTTGTTGAATAATTCACAGCTGGGTGTTTATAGAAGACTCTGTGGCCTCAGAGCTCCAATAACACAGGACAAATATTGCGACACACACACTCTCCCGCTCTCTTTATCAGCCGTCCCAGGGTTGACAGTTTATTTGGACACCGTGGACGATGGAAATGGAAAAATACAGAGACGAATGTGAGGTGGAAAAGCACACACACACACACACTTACACTCACAAACACACAAACACACAAATTTATGTTACGTGAGGAGAGCCTCTGTTGGCCTTATGGGTTACAAATCCTCGTCTTTATCCACCCCTGTGAGGACGCTGCAGTCTCCGTCCCTCTCTCTCTCTTTTCACACACACTCTCTCTCTCTCTCTCACACACACACACACACACTCTGAGGGTGTTGTGGACGCGGGTCAGTGTGTGATGGAACAGAGAGGAACAGTCTCCTCTAATCTGGAGAAAATGAAACAGACGTTTGAATGGAAATATTGATTCTTCCTCCCATTTCAATCTTCATCTGGTATTATCTGCCCTCTGCTGTGTGTGTGTGTGTGTGTGTGTGTGTGTGTGTGTGTGTGTGTGTGTGTGTGTGTGTGTGTGTGTGTGTGTGTCACAAAAGCTCACCTTTCTCTCTCTCTCACACGCCCTCTGAAATGATTTTCTGTCCCCTGGATCAAGTATACAAGTTACCGCTAAATTATACACAAACAGAACTGCTCCTGCTGCTTCACAGGGTTTATTTTGTTAGGTTTGAAACCAGGTTAGTCATCAATCAGACAAAAAAAAGAACTTTTACAACATTAAAGTTTACAGCAGCATGTTGGAGGAAGAGAGTGCCTGAAAAGCAGAGGGACGGAGAAAGCACAGTGATGATGAGCGTGAACAAGTGTTGACGAGGTGAGGTTTGGTCTGAATCAGGATAAATTTATTTTCCTCTTTATCTCAAACTTTGAGAAACACATTAAAACAAAACAACAACTAGAAACAAAAACATCAAACAAAGTAATACATATGTACACCAAACAACTGTACATGTCAAAGATAAATATACACTAACACATGTTTGTCAAAAATTAACAAAATGAAGCAAAGAGCTTAACTAGTCCTGACCCGTCCTTGCAAATTAGAGATTTAAAAAAAATCTAATTATATAAGTTACAAAGATCTGTATAAATACCTACATACAAGTAACCTTTATTATAATAATAATCAGTGTTATAATATCCAGAATTAATATTACTTCTATGCAATCAAGTATATTTATGATAAAACCATATTTTTGTTAGTTTACTTGTATGAATCTTTTAATACTTCTCTATAGTTTGATTTAAATATTTTTATGTTATTGGACATTTTTAAAGTGACATCCAGGCTTAAATCATTATTCCTAACCTTATCATATAAACATGTCTGCGTTTGTAAAAGTTTTCTTGCTAGTTTGGGAGTTTCTTAGATTTATAAAAAGAGAATATGGCTTTAAACAAACATAAAGTATATTAACGTGTAAATAAATGAATCATACATTATTTATTTTTGTTATTTTTATGGTTTAGCTTTTTCTTGCCTTTCCCTGATTGGACTGTGTTATTTGACAAATGTTATCATGAACTTTGTGGCCAGAGATGGAAATCTTACAATGTGAAAAACCCACTTAAAACATAAATAATAATAATGATAATGATAATGATAAATAATAATAAATTTTATTTATAGCACACTTTTACAGGTGCTCAGAGACATTTTACAAAGGAAAAAAAATCAAATAAAACACAATTTAATGTACAGAAAATTTTGAGACATGAAACCAACAATGTAAAAAGTTAAAAAAGACAAAATATAAAAAGACGATAAAAGAACAGTTAACAAGTTAAAAGCCAATTTTAAAAGGTATCTATGTAAAATATGGGGGTCTGTACAGTCTCGGATGGGTTTGAGGAGTGAATTCAAAAACTTTTAGAACTTTTAAAAATATTTTCAAATTAAATTATCAATATTGGCACCAAAGGATTAACTGTGTTACAGGGTTAGGGTTAGGGTTTGGATCTTCGTTATCACCGATTTTGAGTGATGAACTGCATCCTTCTCTTTCTGATTTGACCCCATGACTAGAAAAAAAGTGAAGGAGAAGAAAAAGCAGAGTGAATACGGTAGTAAAATGAGGTAAATAAAGAAGAACGAGGTCTGTCTGAGAAAGAGGAGGAGATTCATGACCCTTGATGACCAGGAAAAACAAACACCGTTACGTCTTGAGCCGCAGAGTTTAAGATTAAATCTTCCTCCGCCCCGTGTTAACTGTGATCCATTCTCTTCTATTTTCTTTGGCAGCGGTTTGTTGTGTTTCCTTGTCGCGCAGGTTAAACAGCAGACAATCTGCGCTGCTGTTTGTCTAAAACCTCCCTGTGAACCCAGAGTTGACCTCAAACACTCCATTACTCTCCTTCAGACTCGAGCGGAAGATGTGCGAGAAACTCAGGAGGAAACAGGCAAATAGGAGGAGGGAATGAATCAAACGGTTAATATCCTTCAGTCGGTCTTCTGTCTTTCCTCTGAGTGGACAGCCGCGATGCTCCAATTCATCTTCCTTCCCCTCACAGCGGTGTGTTCAGGGAAGGTCAAAACCCAGAAAATAGGCTACACGCGAGGCATTTTGTCACCAGACACCCTTCACCTGCCTCCCAACGCCAAGGAGCCGCACACAACTGGGACACAGCCGCAGCCAAAAATACATCAGGTGGACCCGAGCGGCGACTCCTGCATGCATTCACACCACATTCGTTCTGCATTTGTTGTGCTAGTCCGAGGAAGCAAAAGAGCGGAACAAGGTGACATTTTGATGCTCTTCAAGTTTAGGAAGTTTAATTGATTTATCCTGTTGGAAAACATGCATGACAGAGCTGATTTCACATCCTTGGATTTTGAGGCGTTGATGAAAGACGGTCTCCTTCACTGGCCACGATTTATTTTTGGCTAATTGTTGTAATTGTTTTGGTGGAAACAGAGTAAACTGTGTAGAGAGTTTGTAATCATCGACCCTTTGACCTTCCATGTCTGGAGATACTGGATCACTGCTCCTAAATTCCCCTGCGATGTCCGCGAACGGAAGTTGAAATGAATTCTTGCCATCGTGAAGTAACGTATGAAAGACTCCGGTCGGCACGGTGACTCAGAAAGCCTGAGAAAATGATGACTCAGGACTTTCTAGATCTACATCCGATTACGCAAGAGCATCCGTGTGTCCCTTTGAAACCACTTGTCAGGGGTCAGGTCCTTCTGGAAGATCCAGAAGGAGGGCATTCCAGATGAGATTTGTAATCTCTCCAGTGAGCTCCAGGTTTAGCCTCTTCCCAGCCGACCATGTCCATAAAACCTCCAAAGGATGGCATCTCAATCAGAGGCCTGAACCACCTCAAGTGGGTTCTTTCAATGCAAAGGATTACCCTCAATTTTCACCACATCCAGAACTGCTCTGCTCTGTAACGGCAGCGATTTTCGCCGTCAGCCAATTCCCACTGGATCTGTTGGTGAGGCGAATTTCGTGGCGGATTACGGACAGCTGTAATGGCGAGAAACCACAAGAACCCGCAGATTTACGCACAATCGTGTGACGAGTTGTCTCTATAAAGACAGCCACATAGACATATAAGCAGTAGATTGTGTCCTTCAAGAGGAGGAAATCTATTTCTAGACTTCTAGAATCAGCATCTCCTCATCCATGGTGTCATTGGGGTGAAATGACGTCTAAAAACCTTTCACTTGTTCGTCTCCGCCCGTTTGCATGGTGTGAAATACGATCCGCCAGTAACATGGAGTGTTTTACAGGCAAAACACACAGGATCCAGCACAGCAGGTGGATCAAATATGCAAGCATTAAAATCAATGTGAGTGATTCCACAGAATCTGTCCAGCATCAGGCTCCGGCGGCCAGATCAGATAAGCAAGGCCTCTATTTTTGCCAGACGGCGCATCAATTCAGTGCAGTGCAGTACGAGCAGCAGCAGAAGTTGTATGCGGTTACGGGGTAAAATACCCGGTTAATTTTCAAAATAAAATAGAGTCAATACATTGAACTGTTCTTAACTTGATAATAGGAGAGGCCAGGGTTGTGGGATGTGGGTGTTTATATACACCACCGTTTATATACAGCGATCGGCGGACCTCATTCTATGACTCACAGGGAAAGCACGCGAGAGCTCGTGAGATCTCATCCAGTGTCACAAGAACGGAAAGAAAATGGTGGAAATTGACACATTAACTTGAATGGTTACGATCAGCTGCAATCAGCAGATATGGCCTGTTCATAGACGTTCCAGATGCGGTGGAAATTGGGGGTTAAATACCAGATACTTAGAGGATACTCGTCTCGGTTGTTCTTTCTTTGGGTTGCGACTCAAAGCTCATGACCAAAGTGAGGGTTGGAAGGTCGATCAACTAGTCAATCAAAAGCTTGGAAGGTCGATCAACTAGTCAATCAAAAGCTTGGACTTCAGGATCACCTTCCCTTTCTTTACAAGGGTCTCGTACATGATCTTTGGCACAACTGTAGCAGCACCAATACCATTTAATCCTTACTCTTGAACAAGACCACAACATCGTTGAACTCGTCACTGTGAAGCTCCCTCAGAGTAGATCTGAGGTCCATGTTTTAGACGGAAGCAGTCGAGGGGGCGTCAGGTCAGATATCCAGATGCACCCGAAGCCTCCAGCCCTGTGGGGACAAAACAGCAGCGACACTAATGGTCGGCTGTATGGCATTTAGAGCAGAAAGGTGTGACATGCAAGACTTCACACTCGCTGTCTGACTGTCTCGCACAGATTTGCATACACACTCACACACTCACACACACACATTCCTCAGGGCTTGCCATTAATAACAGCTGACCTTTGCACGTTTAGGCTGTGAAATGATAGTAACGACGACCTGAGGATGGCTTATCACACTGTCCTTCATGTCTCATCGCTCCATGCCTCCATCTCCATCTATCCATCCGTCCATCATTTCCTCCCCTGAGGAGATGTTGGTGCTTGTTGCTATTTCGGCGTCATTGTTTGTGTTCAGTTTGGTCTGTGTCGTTAGTAATCGCCTGTAACACCCCGACCACTGGCTTGTGTGAATTTTTGAGGTAGGAGCACCCAAATTTGGTTGTTTACTTTCACGAGTGTGCCATGTCTGGACGATGTCGGGACAAGGCTGAGGTTAATTTTGGATGAAGACGACTTTCACAGAGGTTTCCTAAACATGCCGATATCTTTTTCTTAATCTTAATTTTCCAAAAGGAATTCACACAAATTCAACTATCTTGATGTTTTAGTTAGCCAAGTAGCCTTCCGTTAACCAGGAGCCAGGAAGCAAGTCCCCACCTTGTAGCGAGACCTCAGACCAGTCCATTACGGACTACAGCGGGGTGTCGCAGCTCAAGGAAGAACATTTATGATCATTACTTTGTCATTTCCTTGAAGTAATTATCACCATATTGATCGGTCTGATTGTATTTCCATGAAGAAATTATCATAAATGTTCTTCCTTGAGCTGCGAAACTCCGCTGTAGTCCGTAATGGACTGGCCTGAGGTCTCGCTTCAAACAAGCGGCTGCTGGAAGAGAGTAGGTGAGTTGTGTTTAGTCTCTTTGCTAAAGAAATCAGGCAAAGTTAAAAAGATGTTTGGTGTCTAGTACTATGTCTGTGACCCTATATGTCCTGTTGATGAAGTTAGGTGCTGTTCTGAGCATTATTTGTGGCTATAGAGTGGCGTTTTGGTGGCTCTCTGTATTGCTATCCTGCGGTCGTTACTTAAGTTGGTATAACTAGAGAAGTAAGCGGTCGGCAACATTCATCTCTCGACATGTTTGTCTAACTCGGTGTTACGGTGTGTTTGACCCTAAATTAGTTTTAGGCCGGAATATCCCTTTAACAACCATAAGTTGGATGTAGAGCAAAAATCTTTGATTCATTATCCTTGTTGGATAAGTTCTCGGTAGGATTGGAATCATTTGGATTTTAAAAAAAAGGATTTTCGAGGCCTCTGTGGAGAAAGTATTTGGCTGATTCAAAGCCCCAGAAATCCAGATCCGATTAATCTTCAAAAGTTTGTGTCTGGATCAGGACAATCAATCAATCAACGTTGGGGATCATCACGCCACGCCTTCACCTGCCACCTGGTTTGCATTGCACCTTTCCTGGCGGGTGTTGAGCCTCCCTTTAGAGGTGTTCTTGGCTTGTCCAACTTGAAGAAGATCCCAGGTAGATCTAGAACTCACCATCCTGTATGGTACAGGAACGCAGATGAGAAGGAGAAGGATGCTTGATTCTGCTCAGGTGAAGTGGATTGACGGACCAGAATTTGATCGATCCTTGACGGCAAGAAGTAGATTTCCAAAAGCGGGTCAATCTGAAAAAGAAGCAAAGATGGACTCAGAAGATTTTTGGAATTTGAAGACGTTGAAAGTTCGATTGTATTTTCAAAATCTAAAACAGTTTCGTTCACGACCAGACTTCTGCTTGTGTCTACGATAGCGGCCACTTGATGAAACCCTCCCTTATTAATTAGATGTGTTCAAGAACATTTCGTCCAAAGTCGACCAGTATCTAACTTCCTGTGAAAACTCTTCCTTTTAACTAAATTCAAAGAGTTTTTTCTGTCTTGGCACCGAAGTTAAAGAAAGCCGCCCAGCCAGACTCAGGGTTTACTTTCCCCTTTCTTCCTCAGTTGAAGTGAAGGCTTTATTTGGATGAAAGAGTCGGTAGAACAAAAAATATATATTTGCCAAATTCGTTTCTTTCACTTCAGTTGAGCCGTTTCGACTTTTCCTCTCGGTTTCTTCCCTTCCAGAGGGGTCGATGAGTCTCCTGCCGCCGCCGCTCTCTCTCTCTCCCTCTCTCTCTCCTTCTCTCTCCATCTGTTTTTCAGATGGCCGCGGTCGAACCAGAACACAAACCAAACTGAAAACTGGAAGAGACGAGCAGCTGCTATCTTTGAAAAGGTCAACGAGGAATCCAAGGCCGCCAGCTAAAACAACAAGCACACACACACTCCGTCCCCAAGGATCCATTTCAGCCTCTTCTTTTTTTTTACAGTTATTTTAATTCCTCCATCCATCCTTTCCCCTTTTCTTTCTCACGTTTCGCCATCTCTCTCTCCCTCCGCCGCTCCCTATCGCTCTCTCTCTCTCTCTTGTTAAGAGGTTCATCCCGCCTGCCAAGATCCTCTCAGTCCATTTGGAAAAAAAAACTGTTTCTAATTTGGTATCAATCTGAAGAGTCCAGTTTGTCAATGCCCCGTCTCTGAGTGTGTGTGTGTGTTTTCTTTTGGTATTACTCCCATGATACCATATGGCCACACACACACAAACACACTCGCACAGACACGTTCCCACCCCCAGAATCGTATCTGACAGAAATAGTTGTCCTGACATTTCGTCTGATGGGATTCACATCCTGTTGTCCGTGTTTACATCAGTGTCAGTGTTCATCTGTCTCTTTCACTGTGATGGTTTCAAATGAGGAGCTTCATAACAGATCTGGCATCATCGCTCTGCTTTGTTATCATCAGGCGGCGTTAAATACTTGACTCTGATTGGCTAAAACTGTCAACAACAGTGATGAAACGCCAGGGACAACAAACTAGATCCTCCTGCAGAATGGAGTCGAGCGTAAATCACCTCTACCTGTTGACAATGTGGCAAAAGCGATTTTCTCTGACATGAAAAAATCGGTACAGCAGAGTATCGTGATATTTTGTTTGGTGATATATCATGTTGTCTTATTGACCAAGTATCTATTTTTTCAAATTGATTTTTAATATGAAGTCAAATCTATGATAATGGAAAAATGTAAAATCAACTGCTTGTCCAGTGAGGTTGGCAGAGGTGACATCAAAGAGCAGGAGAAAGTTAGTACAACAAATATATATGAGATTTGCAAGATGTGCGACATGAAAATAAAATATTGTGTAAATAAGACAAACATGAAGGAAAGACGAATGATTAATTAGCTAAACAGTTAAAAAAAACTGTATAAATCGCAAGATATTGTATCACAAAACTCAATGTATTGCAAAATGTTTAAAATCGCAATAAAATTGTATCGTGGCCCAAGTATCGTGATAATATTGTATTGTGTCATGGTCCGAGTATCGTGATAATATCGTATGGTGGCCCGAGTATCGTGATAATATTGTATTGGGTCATGGTCCGAGTATCGTGATAATATCATATCGTGGCCCAAGTATCATGGAAATATCATATCATGGCTTAAGTATCGTGATAATATTGTATCTAGTCGTGGCCCAAGTATCGTGATAATATCGTATCATGGTCCAATTATCGTGATAATATTGTGTCATGGCCCGAGTATTGTGATAATATCATATCGTCGGCCAAGTATCATGATAATATAATATCATGGCATGAGTAACGTGATAATATTGTATCTAGTCGTGGCCCAAGTATCGTGATAATATCATACCATGGCCCAGGTATTGTTAAAATATAATTCTGTGGCCCAAGTATGGCAAAAATATCTTATGGTGGCTCGAGTATTGGAATACTATTGTATTGTGTCATGGCCCGAGCATGGTGGATATATCATATCGTGGCCCAAGTATCATGAAAATATTGTATCGTGGCCCAGGTATCGTGATAATGTCATATTGTATTGTGGCCCAAGTACTGTGATAATATCAATCAATCAATCAAATTTTATTTATATAGCGCCAATTCACAACAGTCGTCATCTCAAGACGCTTTTCAAAAGAACAAGAGCAGGTCTGGACCACGCTCATTGTTTGATGATCAAGAACCAACCTAAGATGGGTTTTGGCCCATCTCAACTAACATAATATCATATCATGGCCTGAGTATCATGATAATATCATGTCATGGCCCAAGTATCGTGATAATATTGTATTGTGGTCCAAGTATCATGTAAATATTGTATCGTGGGGCCTCTGGTGATTCCCACCCCTATTGCTAATGAGTTTTGTTGATTGTTTTGGTCTAAAATAAACCGAGACATGATCCAGTAGTAATTAGCTGAGGCGGCAGGGAGGCGGACATGTTTCCAACAATAATTCGATTTTTTTCCGGTGTTTATAAACTTGGACAGTCGTCCAGTTAAACTACCAAATTCCAGCTGTGATCCCAGACTTGACTTAACTGTGCATGTAAACAAACTGAACGGTGTTTTGTTTTAGTCCAGGCTGCCCTGAGCGGACAAACATGGCGCTCAAACATCTGTGCACGTGAATGTTTGTATTTACAAAATTAGAAGATTTGAAGGTTCGAATTAAACGTTTTCCTTTTTAGACGAAGTGTTTGCACTTCAAGAAAAACATCTCTAATTGTATGTTTTGTTTGTGTTTGTGTGTTTGCATGTTTTAGTGTGTGTGTGTGTGTGTGTGTGTGTGGCAGGTGTTTTGCGTCAACACCCACCATCCATCAAGTCAAATGGGCGAATCAAAACAAGTGCTCAGTCTAAAACAACTTAACCCGCCTAATCTTCTTCTGCAAGATCTCATTCAAACCCCGCCCCCATCCCAGCTCGCCATAATCTCTACTAGGGACATCAGCTGTCTCTCTCCTCTCACGCTGCTGGATATTTACTTGCTCAAGGGTTCCGCGGCCGGTCTTTAACGAGGAGAGTCGTACTCACATTTCTCGGCTCTTAGAGGGACTTAACCCGCGGCTGCAGGGGTCACTTCCTCCTCTGCTTCTCATGTTCTCGGTGCCGCCGCTGCCGTCCGTTTGTCCTCTACAGAGATAAACTGTTGTTGACACTGCGGGCCACGCAGGAAATCAGGCGCACTATCCGGGTCGAATTAACCGTTTATGTACAGGCGAATGTTTGTGTTTTCAAAATTAGAAGATTTGAAGGTTCGAATTAAACGTTTTCCTTTTTAGACGAAGTGTTTGCACTCGTACAAAAACATCTCTAATTGTATGTTTTGTTTGTGTTTGTGTGTTTGCATGTTTTAGTGTGTTTATGTGTGTGTGTGTGTGGCAGGTGTTTTGCGTCAACACCCACCATCCATCAAGTCAAATGGGCGAATGACAGGAAGAACAAAAACAAATCCCTCGCTCCGGCAAGAATAAACGACTGATGCCGACCAATGACAAGTGTTTATTGTCTGAGTGTGTGTGAGAAAGAGATGAAGGTATATGTGTGTGTAAGAGTGTGTGTGTGTTGAGTGTGTGAGTGTGTGTGTGTGTGTGTGTGGGTGAAATTGAAAGAGAGGAAAAAAGAGACAAAGCAAATGAGTGTGAGAGAGACGGAGAACGGAGTTGATGTTTATTGTTTTACCAGTTCAGTAGGCGGACACACACACACACACACACACACACACACACACACACTTATTATCCTG